TTAATTGACTGAAAATTGAAACGCAATTTCAACACAATGATCTTTGCCCCCTGCCACATTAGTTGCATCAAAATGAATTACCAAGATAATCTGAAAGCAATTTTACTACTGTAGCACTTTTATAACTCATTAATAATCAAACGCTTATCATAATCTAAACCTGCAAGACACAGGTAAATTAAACAAATACAAACGTTCTAAGAACATGACAGAAAGGCATTTCAAGTTTATTTAAATAGATACTACTCTTCTACTCCATCTGCTAAATATACTATTTTCTTGATAACACTTTACTTACCAGAGTAAACACACTTTTTAAAAGAGTGTGCCTCATCATCTGACACAGTGTCTAATGAGAAAGACAAATTCAGTTACAGTTTATATAACCAAGCAATCACAAACTAGATGTTGAAATGGTGCTAATATATTATCATCAGAAGAAAAAAGTCTCAGCTGCTAAAACGTGTAAATAGCATTTCACAGAGGTTCAACTTTTTTTTTAATAGATTATAAAATCAAATTAGGTCATGCTCAAAGATTAATTCCTCTAGAAAAGTAAACAGTTTCATGAAAATTGATCTATTATCCATTCTGCTCATAACATTTTGAAATGTCCTTATTTAATTAATTGCTGTAAAACCTAAAGAAGAGTAAAGACTTATTAATCAGTCTAGTTTACACACCAAGTGACAAAGTGACACCACTATTTATTTTATCACAGGTGAATCTCTAAACTCAGCCAAAATATGTGTTCCAGTTGGAAACATGATCTTCATAAACCAGTACTAGCTTTAGAGATAGAGAATTTTTTAATGCAATATGGAATAATAAATAAAAATCAGAAGTGAGAGCAGTATTAAGTTTTATTTATCAAAATTTAAAAGATAAATGCAAATCAGTATGAATTTAAACCCAGTAGTGTCTCTTTGAAAAAGAAAATGAAGTCTTCATTCAGATGAGCATTTTTTGCACATCTTCAGAGTACACTGAGAAGAACTCTATCTCCACCTACTGGACCAGCTACAAAAACGTTCACAATTTGAAAACGATAGGGGGATTGTAAAGCTACCTATGTGAATATGTAAGTGAACTATATTGAAGATACTAGTCTGACAGAAGTTTTTCTTCTCCTTGCTGTTAGCTCTCCACATGCCATACATTTGAGGACATACTTCACTATTTAAACTCTCCTAAACACATTCTTAAACTCACGTCCATAGCCAAAAACTACCTACCTACCAGGCAAAATACATTGTAATTGCAAACTGCTGTGTTCAAACTACTGGGGCTGAGCACATGAACTGTTATCCTTTCCAATTATGTTGGATTTAAAACAGTGTAGGACCATCAATATAAAAACCATAATCTAGATTATGGCTGTTGGGGATTTTTTGTTTGTGGGTTATTATTATTATTATTATTATTATTATTAGTTCCAATGTATGTGGGCACATCCATACTCATGTCTCAACCGGATAATCTGTCATCTTTGTAAGTTCCATATAATAAAAAACAATTTCTCCTCTGGAACATTCTCTATTCTTTCCACCACCAGACAAAATTCTGTTTCCCTAAAGACTGTGTGTGTCTGTACATGTTTCCCACACATCAGAAGAACACACAAATGTGACACTTCTTCCACATATGTGACTTTTCTTTCTGTTCTGACAGCAAGATCGCTCACATTCACAAGTCACTTTAAAAACTGTCTACTGATCAAGTTTCTAAGTCAGAATTCCCTAAACCATGTCTTCCACTATAACAGACACACTGGGATAATCAATCCAGTTCCACACCTGTTTCAGGTAGTCTCCCTGTCTTTGTTCTCAATCCACAGAAAGACTAAAATACATACCAAAAACTGTTCTCTTCAGTGCCATTTTTCCTGTGTGTGTGTGTGTCTCAATCTCATCTTAAGAGGTTCATGCACACACATTACACCCAGTAGAAATACTCCTCAAGCAGCTCCTACAGAAGCTGAAAACCCATAGAGGGCTCCAAAACCCATCTCCAAAATAATTCACCCATGACACTCCTGAGTTTGCCAATAGGCAAAGAAAGTAGGCTGTACAAATTCTAACCCCCAAGAAGCCCATTCATTATTCCTTCCCCCCAAGAAGCACTGAGACTCACTTTACAAGCATAAGTCAATCAGATCTTACTCATCCACAGAAACAGACTTACTGCATACACAGAGACTAGCAAAACCATGGTGGGGGTGTGACACCATCACTGTCTTCCCCTGTCAGAAAAATAAACTAATGGACTAAGAAAGCATAAGGGTGGTAATCACTATTCAAGCTAAGTAACAGTGGATCCACTTATAAAATTCATCTTTTATATTAATTTTGCCATCACGTTACCTCTGAGTCTCTTCCATAAGGGGTGAAGTTGAATTCATTATTTTCCATTCTTCCCTTTATTTAACATCTTGCAAGTTCTTCTCAAGTCTGTTTTTTTTCAGGATTCCTTTCTTCTCCCCACTCCACAAGTAACACCAAGTAAGGTACCGCCTTAATTACCCTCTAGTGCCTAGTCTGCATTTCTTCTGAGTTTCTTCAGTGGAAGAGATGCCATCCTTTTACCTAAATGCCACACAATCCAACTCAAATCTTTCTTTAACTGTTATTATGCTTTGATATTTCAGGAAACAATCTACATTAAGTATTTATGTGAGTTTGCTTACATTGTACAAATGTATATTCAAGAAACAGACCACGTAAGTCTGAAACACAATTACAGCAACCACTTTTCACCAGAAAGAATAAACATTCCTTTCAGTCTGCTTCTTCAAGTCTCCTGTATCGGTGTGTCAATTATTTCAGCTGTTTAAGTAACAAAAGCCTCCCACTGTGAGCTTAGACTCTAATTGAGATGAAATCTTTTTTTCCCAGAGAAAGACCTGCCTGAAAGTTACGTACCCTGGCAGCACCATACTCCCATAACTGCCCAATCTGTAGTGTGCTAGAATAATTGATGGACACTATAATTTCAAATTAGAACTTCTGTTAAGCCTCAGATATACCAGTGGTAACACAAAAGAGTCTGACAAGCCTCCCAAGAGCTGCATTTTAATTTCTTGTTACTTCTTTCTCATACCTGTTACAAGCCATTCAGTGTTTCTCAGTCGCTCTTAGAAGTACTTCTGATGAGATATAGTTCTCACTAAACTCACAAAAAGCCTTTATGTTGCTACTCATTGATGGATTAAGCTTTTGCATTGTTTTCTAACCAACAGATAAACAAAAACTCAATCTCTAAAACCATCTTAAAATATTAAAAGTACCAAAAATTACTTACTGCCCAAAATAAATATGCAGCAGTCTGTATCTCCCTGCCCTACACCACATATACAACACATTATTTGCTGCTGTTCAAGAGATTTATTGCACTTCACATAATACACAAAAACAAATAATTAAAAAAGAACACCAAAATCCACAGAGAAAAGAGATACAACATCCAAAGCAAAACTCAAGAAAGGCAAAGGTAGAACAGAAGACAGAGATAAAAATCAATCGTTGCTTAACATATGTAAGTACAGTAAATATTAGTGATTACCAGATGTAGAATGAAAACATTGAGAAATACTTCTGTTTTCTCAAGCTTAAAACCACAAACTCTATATCCTGACAAGGACAGAACAAAACTTTCAGTAGACCGCTGTATGATTTCTTTCCAGTATTAAAAACAAGGATGTTAATAAACTTGTGTATTCTGTGTTTTCAGCTATTAACATTAATGTAACTGACATATGCAGCTACTACATTAAAGGTATTAAAACAATGACAGCGTGCTTAAAACTAAATTTAAACCAACTTAAAATAAATCAAAGTCAACTTTAAAAGGCTTAAAAATTGTATTCAGTAGTTACAGAACTCGGGAACACAAAAAGGGTGCACAGAAGTGAATCATTGCCCTCTTGAACAGTGTTACCATTTGAGTGAACAGTGAAAAGAGGCAACTGTATTTAAATATTTAAAAACAAGCCTCTCTCACATGCATTTTTTATTTATTTATTATTTTTTAAATCAGACCAGACCACAGACACTCAGTGGTTTATTATCATATATAAACTCTCCTGCTTTTAACTTCTAAATTGCTCTCTCTTCCATATTGTCCAGGGAACCCTTTTTTAGGATGAAATTTCTTAAATTTTAACAGCACGGGAGTGCATACTGAGTTACTATGGAATTCTTTCTACCAGGAAAATAATGTTATCTCTGATATAGGACAATGAATAAAGTGGAGATGTTTATACAAGGAAATTCAGGATCTAGATATAGATTTAGATGTCAAGCATTCTGAAGGTCTTTAAGGGGACTATCCTTGGAACAGTTTTTCCCCCCACTCCAGAGATCTAGACAAATTATGTAGGTAATACGTAGTTTATAGTCTGCCTTTCCTTCCCCTACTCCAAAGGTACTTTCTGCTTGAAGCACAATAGAACAATGGAACCATATTTGTAATATCCTTCCAAAACTGCCGAAATCTCAAAATAGTACTACTATCAGAAGATGTTCAGAGCAGCTACCTGAACCTGACTTTCAAAAAGCATTAGACAGATTAGCAGTGCATTAACTGCTTTGCAGTATTTTCGTAGGCACTATACACAAGCAAACAAGCTTACTCTTAGAGAAAAGACACATTTACAAGAGAGGAGAAAGCTACCAGGGCAGCTAAAGCATTACTTACCATGTATTTACCCTTTCAACTTTCAGATCCAAATAGTTTATCATCTATCTCCCATCATTTTTTGGTTAAGTGAACACAGGCAAATGAGACTGAATACAGACTTTATTTCACAGCTGCCAACACCACCAAAGGAAATAACTTATTTTGTACCGGGCAATAAATGTAGAACAAAAGAAATGATCACTTTTTCATATATGAAAAATGTGAATGCAGGGGCTAGCAAATTACCTAATGTTTACCAAAGGGATTAAAATATCATTTAGCACTCAAACAATTAGAGAAAAAGAGTAAAATAACATTAGTACCTCCTATTTTCAGCCAAATTTGCACCTTCATCCTTCAGCTCCTTACTTTTCTTTACACAGTCCTCTAAGAGAATTTCCTTTCTTCTCTTGGTTGCATGCACCCAGTTAGCATCATCATCATCAGCCAGATCCTCATCATCTGCAGCTTCTGCTTCAAATTGCTGAGAAGTAGCTTTTGAAACTTTCTCACCAATCTTTCTCTTCCACCCAAAAGAAGCCATTCGGAGAACTGGAGAAAAACGTATTTTCAGCAGTTAGGTAATTTAGCTTTTCAGTACATAGAGGAAAAAATTTACCTCGCTCATCTTGGTTCTACAACAGTAACATGTAACTGACTGCCGCTCCCCCACACCAATTCTGCCCGTCGGCTTCCCCAGAGGCGCTGGTCAGACAACTACAATCCTGAGCCCAGATTAAATATGTTCTCTAGCAGACGAAAACTGAAAACAGAACAAAACAAAACGCCAGAGCTCCGACACGCCAGAAAGCCTTAAATCGTCGAAGCCGGCACACCAGAACGCAGACACCGGACAAAAGCCGACAGGACCGCGACGAACGACGCGGGCCACGCAGCACCCGGCGGCCCGCGGGGAAGCCCTCCCGGCGCGGCCGCTCCTCAGCCGGCGAGGCACCACGCCACGGAGGGCTGGGGAACTCCGTCCCGTCCCGTCCCGTCCCGTCCCGTCCCGTCCCGTCCCCCCTGCAGACCGCCGTTACCTGCCGCCCGCCTCCGCCTGGAAGGCCCGCGCCACCCTTGACGCCCAGCCGGCAGGAAGCGGAAGGGCACGCCGGGAGCTGTAGTCCCGGGGCGCCGCTGGGCACGCCGGGAGCTGTAGTTCCCGCCGTCCCGTCGCCGGGGCAGCCCGCCGGTGGCGCCCGGCCTTGCTGAGGCGGCCCGGGGCACCGCAAGCCCTGCTGCCCGCCACGCCGCGGGCGGGGATACGCGGCTGTGGGGATTTTAGCGACAGCAGCCCTGAGCGGGTGACGCAGCCAAGCCCAAACGTGCCGTCCGGGCGCCCGTGAGGGACCGACAGGGAAGCGCAGGAACGGCCCCGTCGTGTCACCCCCGGCTCCGCCCGGCGGGGAACGCCACCAGGAAAATGAACGTGGCAGAAAAGCAGGGTTTTTTTGTTTGTTTTGTTTTTCCCCTAAAAAGAATAAAAAAATCTAAGACAGGCTATTGCTCCCTAGTTACAGGGGCACATACCAAGACAGAAGACTCACCCACGGTGCACGAAAAGGGCAGAGTGTGAGAGGAGGTACATCGAGTCGCCACGGGGCAGGGCAAAAGGGGGCTTTGACACCGAGTCCTCAGCATCCCTTCCCTCTCAAATTCCTTTTTGCAGCAAGAGTTTTTACAGGATCTAGGGGAAAACAGGTAGTCGGGGGCCAGGCTGGTGCCCTGCTTGCCTAGCTGGGAATGCTACAGTAACTTGCTGGCATATTGCTGCTTACACTAATTTTAAAAAAAAAAAAAAAAAAAAAAAAAAAAAAACACACCACCTTTTAGAATAACAGTCCTGGTCTGTAAATTTATAATACACATATGAACAGAAGACAGCGTACACACAGTTTCAGACAATATGGTTTAGTATTTCACGTTTTACATAAGTTTTAAGTTTTGAAAGTTTAAAAAGTATACAGTTACAAACAAGCATTTTTGCCATTCAGCTTTGTCAAAAGAAATTAACATCGAAGTAGGCACATCTTTGTTAAACAGGACTTCATACCTTAAAATGGTAATCAACAGGTAAAATAAAATTGATTTCCAAGTTTGTATTAAACACTCGTATCAAGACAAACATGAAAGTTGGGTTTGATTTGGGTGTTTTGGTTTGGTTTTTTTAAATATTGCACCACCAAGATGAATATTTATCCATTACCTAACAAGTTACATCGCACATGGACAACTGGGTTCATCCATGTTTTTGAGAAAATGAGAACACAAACGCAAGATAATTCAATATACTCCAACAGGAGTAAGTTTGGGAATACAGAGTAACATACTTGACCAATTTGTGTATTTGCATAAGCTGCACCCTTATAACTCTGGCAGCTTTCTTTGTGAAGTTTTGTTTCACAGCTTATTGGCAGATATTAGCATAATTTTCAAAAAAGGTCTGCAAGATCAGCAGGAACACATGAAGAAAGCAGTTTCAACAGCAAGATCTACAAAGCATAGGAAAGTCACACAACAGACATCTGTTCTGGGTTCAACTAGGTTATCAGTCCCCCTTTCTCCCCCACCCCCTATAAAAATCTCAGTTCAATCAGAAAACTTTTGGCCATCAAAAGTGATTTTTCATACCGATAAAATTTACTTTATTTAAAACTACTCAGACAGAACACTTCTGCCAGAAACTTACTTTGTCCTCCAGCTACCAAGACAAAGGAAAAACCATGGTTGTCTTAATGCACAAGAGTGCCAAAAAGGTATATAAAAATCAGGAGTTATTTGCACCTTAACACCTTGCATTTGTGGTCACCATTACAAGGAGCAGATACCATTTATAAATATTGTTAGACGTATGCAAGAGTGATCCCAAACCAATTCCAGATGAGGAGTTACTAGAATTCAAAACCTGTGCGTCCATTATATTTGTACAAGTGCAGTATTTAACAATTTCAAAATAAAAGGGTAACAAAAATTAACACAGACTTATTCAGTACATCAGAACCAATTCTTACAAGACTGAAAACAGGACTTAAAAGTAGGATTTGCAGCTGGTCCCTCATGTTGACATCTCAGTCTCAGGAGTTTAAACCCAAAGCTTTATCTAAGGAAAAATCTGTTTCGAGATACAGTAATACAACCTTGCATTACAGGGACCTTGTGTGACACTTGAGGATAAAGAACTGAAGTTATACCTTGTACCTACACACTAGACAAAGACCACACAGTTGCCCAGTTCAGAATGCAATTATAGCAGTTCTAGGGCTTAAAGCAGCTTTATGTTTCTTCAGATTCTGTGCATGTTCATCACATTTCTAGACTGAAGCCAGCTGGCCTGAATTAAACCATTCTTGTATATGTAGCTAGTGATTTTCCATGGATGAAATCTCAGTCCCTGGCAAGAATCCCCATTCACTTTAAGAGTCCAGGTTTCCCTGTTCATAGTAATGCCTTTATTTCCAGTCTCTCCCTGGGAGAGCAAGCTTTAAAGCTGAGTAGGTCATGAAGTTTATTTTGAAGATAACATTAATTCTTAAATGCAAAAAATAATCATTTTATGACGTATATATTACTGCTTGTGTCTATTATCTCTAGATGAAAATGGAACTATGGCTAATTATATCCAGTTTACAAGACACTAAAAGTTTTTGTGCAAGTACTAGCAGTGATTTTAACTTAGAAGGTTAAATTTTCTTCCTGAAATATTGCAAAAAACATAAATGCAGAGGAATTTATGTTATCGATAATTGCAATCTACTGTTGAAAACTTTTTGATTAGCACTCAAGTTGTCATGATCAGTTTTCAATGTTCAACTGAAAAGCTGAATGATTTAATTTCACCATTAATTTTAAAAGCGGAGTTTGCTACAAAGGTGGCCTATATAGGCAGTTTCAACTGCAAAGTGAATTCTATATAGTATAAGCTAAGTTAATGTGATAAACAGTTGTATCAAAGTATTAACATATATTTTAAAAAAACTTAATTTCAGATGCTGGAATAGCATGCAACAACCCTTAGGCTGCACTCTTAACTACATGCATATGTTTCTAAGGAAAATGATTCCTTAGCTGCTGTGCTGCTACTACACTAAGGTATATGCACAGATCAGGAGCTTGCTGACAGAGCAACATTTTGGTTTAGCCCATGAGGTGCCAAGTCTTCTCAGCATTAAGTCTCTCACCACTTTTGTGAACTCAGTTGTTCTACCCACAGCCCACATAATTTCACACTTAGTGCATTAGAGAGCACCTACATGCATTTCCAGCTAGTTGGATTTGCATGCATGTAATCAAATTTATCAGTTAAAAGTCAGAAATCGTAACGCATTAAGCTATTCTTTATCATTTACTGTCAAACAGGGGTGAAGAAACACATCAGTTTTAACACATTACTGTTCGATGATGTTGACAGTTTTGACCAACTGAGGCACAACTGTAGATAGTGACCAACAAATCATACTTGGGTCACTCAACTAATAAGCATACATTTACTCATAGTGCATCAGACGTATGTATTATCAGTAAAAAAAAAAAAAAACAAGAAGGTCTAACTTAAGAGTTATATGCAGCCTAATGTGCACTCAATGTAAAATGTTTTGAACACTGCCCCAATGGCATGTTATGTCCTGTACCTGTGTTACACTACTGGACAGCAGACAATCAGAATTCACTCCAGCTTCATAATAATATACATCAACTGCCCATAATCATTTCAATCCCTGTCCAAATTGCATTCTGTAGCTAGCTTTTTCAGTGCCTCGCCTTAGTTAATTTAACTTGATTATAATTGGAAGCATCTGACTATGATTTAGGCATGCTTATTGCTGTGAAAGAAATAAGCCCATATTCAAAATTACTGTGCAAGTATTTTAATAAGATTTGCACACATCTCAAAAAATTCTATTGTATGACTCCCTGGTCTTGGAGTTAAGTCAGCTGTAGAAGAGTCAAGCGAAGAGCTCACTGATGAGGTAAGGGATGTATCAGCCGATTTTCCTTGCACATCAGCATCTGAATCTTTTTGACAGGATCTATAGTTGCTCACAGAACCTGATCTCTGTGGAGTTGCAGTCCCAGACTTCACTTCAGTAATCTCATCTGGAGGGCAAGGGGAAAGAGAAGGAAAATGAAGTATCAGTAACAAATCAATTACAGGAACAGCAAATATCTTCCCCTTCTCACACTTCTAAATCTTGTTTTTTAAAATCTTGATTAATACGTAAACAGCTTTTACAAACTGTATATATTTGATACAAAATAAGCGCTTATACATATAGTAATACAGAAGCAAGTGTCCTCGTGAGAGTTCTCCCTGTACTCTGAACTTTGTTTCAGAACTGTTTACACCTACTTTAGACCAACACTTGCCATATTTTTCATGAACTAATTTCAGCAGCTAATAGTTCAATCTGGGTTACTTAAAACCAAACCAGGATAGCATCATAATAGCATCATATGGTTAAGTCCAAAAATATTTCAAACATTTTGTAGATGCTTCTTGCTAGCATCTATTTTTATGCTATTTTTGTTCACTTTATATTTGGTTATTTATACCTTGTTATTTGTGTTTTCATTTTAAATCACTGATACATTAATTGCTAGCATCCACATTACTTTATCTATCAGTTTTGGAAGTTTTTCCCCCTAGTATGTTGCACATTTGGGCTGCAGCTGCTTAAGTTTACCTTCCATATCAGGAGGAAACACCTTCATCTTAGAAGTAATGTTCTGCTGAAGTATCTCTATTCTTACCTTAAATACTGAACATAAGTGTGACTCTTGCCTGACACCAGGAAGTTACTTCCAGGAGCAATTAGTGAACACAGGGAAGACTGCCTTTTCACATCAAAGCTACTTTAAACTACAGTTTGGTAAGAGGAACAGAGAACAGTTAACTGGTGGAGAGAAAGGAAAGTCAATCAGCTTCACTGTTGGAAGAGAGGTGGCAAATCCATGCCCTTGGGTTCTGTTTCCTCAAGAGTGGAAGCCAGGACTGCAGCAGGCTGCCCTCCCCCACTTGCAAGGTTGTAAGCAGTCATCTCCCCTCCAACAGGCATGTCATTTGTCCTACACTGCAGTAGGTCTGTACAGGAAAGAGATTAGTCCCCTGTATCAA